CACAGAATCAGCGGTCATATCTTGACGGAATAAATTTCAGGCGGTAGAACCACTAGCCATTTGGTTATGTGTGTGTTTACTAGGTTATGAAAACTGTTAGTTATGTGGAAAATATTCACTCATAATAGTTTAACAAGGAGTTATTCATTGAGTGATAAATGGAAATTCAATAGTGAAAGTGAAGACTACGAGGTGAATAGTGATTTTTCCTTTCAATGTCTACGCATTTTTATCAAAAAAGCGGATGAGCCCAATATATATAAAACCCAAAGGGGCCTTAAAATCACCTAATCAGCATTGAATAGAAGTTCATCAGAAACGTCTAGAAGGTGAAGATATACGTGTCAAATTTCCGACTTGATGGTTGCCTATCCTACTATTTTTAGTAAGGTTCCAGAACCTTCCAAAAGCCAAAGGCCATCTGAAAGACCATCGACTTTCTGTACATAAACCGACCTTGGAGTAAGGTGTTTTTTTCTACATTTCGCGACTTTTCCCTCATTTTCAAGTTGTCATATACGTTACTAGAGGCTCTTAGGAAACCGCTCATTCAGAAGATTTATCACAAACAACTTTATTGATTGGAAGATTTTCACAGCAGTTTTTCATACAATGCTGCTAATGCACTGAACAGTTATGAATAGTGGTTGTTTAGTTGGTCACATTTTGACTAGTGTTTCACTGGTGGGACCGTTTCAATAATCAATCAACCAAAATTTATGATTCATAATTTATAACTTATTTAGTTACAGATGATTTATCTTAAAGAAATGTTTTATGTGGTGTTCAGGTTTCAACGTTGACTAAATTATTCACCGCAGAAGAGTTGCAACGTGAGAACACTAGACGATCAAAAATTGAAGCAGATTTACGATTATTCAATCGTTGGCATTCAGGCGAACCGATTTCAGTAAGTTTGTTTAAAGAAAGTAAATAAAAAGTTTTTTTTTCATTTTTCTGATAATAATCTCAATTCAGAATACTTTTAATAAACTTGAAATGCACCGTATATTTCTTACGATGCATTTCATAAATAAATTATTTTTGTAGATTAATCGAAATTGACATTAACTCGAGCAACCTATTTGGTTGATATTTCGCCCTATTCCATATGATTGACTCTGGCGTATTCCAGCCGTAAAATTTGTAGTTGGTTGTAAAGTAAAACCGAAGAAGCATAAAGTTTGACTATAAATGTATGTATTTTTGTTGACTGAACTCGGAAGCAACCCTGATGACAGACCACCTTCGATGTGTTGAACAGAAATGTACTTTATGATGGTCTACTAAAGAAAAGTGTGCTTGAAAACTTCATTAGCATATTGAAGCCCTTATATACAAACACCTCAGACGGAGTAAAGACATGCAACCACCTCTCTTCACTATTTCATTCTAGCAGTGAGGTCAAGCAGGGTTATCCAGCCCCACCATTCCTCTGCAACTTTGCCATCGATGACACTGGAAACAGCTCTCATGAAATTAGGTATTAGTGGTGTGGATCTGCTACCAGAAGAAAGACTTCCCGGTCTTGCGGTTGATATTGTCTTTAATGTGCGCAATAATACTCAAGCCTATTTCGGCACTCATAATTGGAAGTGAGCCGTTAGAAGTAGTCGGAACGTTCGTGTATCTGAGTTGTTGTATGAGTGTTAGTGTTGGCTTGACTGATGAGACCATTCTACGTATAGTAAAAACAAAACTGACTTATACCGATCTAGGTCATCTTTGGTGCCGTCGGGATGTTTATCTGTTTGTGAAAGGCCTTATCAACAACGCGTCTGTGAGATCAACTTTCTTGTATGTATGTTAAACCTCTCCGAATCGAAGAAAGTAGGCAGCTCTATGTTCGACGATCATTGCCTTTGAGGAATTGCTGGTATCCAACCACGACACCATCTCATTAATGATGAGGCCCACCGATATGCGTCCATGCTTAGTGACGACAATGCAATTACTGTCATTATCTCGAAACACCGGCTTGGTTGCCTGGACACGTTTCATCAATGTCATCCTAGCGAACTACATATTTTGCATTTAATACCGACGCTGGGACTGGTTGGAATAGCAGAGAATTGACCAGTTTATATCGTGGCATCGTGATATGAAAGGAAGCTGTGTAGGACTGTCATCTGTCGGTGCATCACGATTCTCTGGTTTGGGGTCCAAGAGATGGTGGAATTGAGTGGCTCAAGACGTTATTAGATATGACTCTGGACAGAAATCAATGGCAATCTTGCTGCAATTTACTTTTACATTCTTCATAAATGCGAGGACTGCTTAAACTGAATGAATTTAAATTATATCGTATGTGTTACTAACAGAACTATCTCTGCGACTATACATTATTCTTGTTATAATGAACTTTTATTTATTCTCTTCAAATGTGCTCCCTGTTCGTCACAATGTAATCCATACCTTTGTCTAGCGTATTCTATTCAATTAAAAAATAATTACTACTAGTTATTGATTAAAGCTACCTATTCTGATTTACAGACTATGTGAGAAAATGTAATATCGTTCAGAGTTAACACTCCAAAAATATCATTTAATGTTAATTGGTTGCAAGTAGTCAACAGAAAACATTGAAACTTATGAGTAGGATTCAAGTAAATTGATCATGGCTTGCAAAAGGTCAACCCGAACATGAAATATTTAGATCATTTAATCGCAATCACCAACAGTTATATACATGCCTGTACAACAGCATTGTTTTTCAGCAAAACATTAACAACGTACCTTAAAATCAGTTACTAGAGTATAATTATTAGATAGATTGAAGAGTTTGTGACAAGCAATAACTTCAAATTAAATAATTCTTTATATATTTAATAAAGTTGCTGGGAAAAATACGGTTCAGTTTGTCTGAGCAGATAAAAACAATCTAAGAAAGATGGTAGATAGAATATCATAGTTAAATGTTTATTTTGTGTCTTCTTAATATGACGGAACATATGAATTGGCATGTATGTATCCAACCATCTAGGCTGTTACCAATAATGTAATATCAGTGATAGTTTAACAATGTGATTTTACCGTATTTAGTGTTAATAAGATATTTTACGGATTTCCTAATATTTTAAAATAAAACTACACTTTGTGCTCTTTCATATTCGTTTGTTTTGAATAACTCGTTCAATGTCCCAACAAGAGAAAACAAGGTACACTGGAAGTGTGTTTTTCTGAAATACAGTCCACAGAGATAGCTCTACTAAGACTTTCCCACTTTGTTGACAGCAGACAATTACCATCACTGTGGGAGTTGGTTTGTGGAAACTAGTGAATTTCATTGCTTACCAGTCTTAGTGTGACAACTAGGAAACAGCGGACAGTTGTCTTAGCATGGAATTCTAATAGTGCATATTCACGATTCCATCAGGGTTGAACCAAAAACCTTCGTCTCTTAGCAGATGCTTAGCGTTTTAACCAGTGAACGACTATCTAATTATCAAGTAACCTTTATGACAATAAATTCGTTTATAGAGGAGTAGCTTGAGTGATTGTTTTTACGATGTTCCCCTCCACAATCATCGAATAGTATCCGGCTATTTTCGTTTTCTTTTTCAGATAATTGATCGTATTAAAGACATTCCGTCATTTGTTTATGGATTTATACAATTATTACTTAGTGGTGAAGGCACATTCGCTTTGATGCAAATCCGTTTAACTTTGTTGGGTTTATGCGTTTTGTTTTATTTGATTACACCTTTCGATTTTATTCCGGATGTAGTTGCCGGTTTCATAGGAATTTTAGATGATATCATAGTTTTATGTATATTTATTATTCATGTCATCTCTGTGTATCAGACAATTTCTTCACGACGAGAACTGAATAGCCGATAAAAATCCTCTATGTAAATCTTTATCCTATGTATATTATACAATAGATCACGTCTAATTCTACGTCTACATTTTGTGACTATCCATGACTACGAATTTTTGCACGAACTGAAAATAATATGTACATATATTTCATTTACTGTAAACAAATATTCTTCTACTCTTTAGTTGTTTTTTATCAATCATTGATTGAGTTCAGAAAATAATTATAAGATTTTGAGGGTGTTTTTACTCAGATAATCACATTATTCGAACTTGTGAACATTGGCACTTCATTTTAATAATGAGGAAAATCAATTTGGCTTGGTTGACCGAAGGTTAATGTATATGTATCAGTAACAAACTATAGGGACCGTGCCATCTAATCGAACCCAACAGAATTATAACAGGATCTTTTCGAGAAAAAAACTATGTGAGCAAACGATTTTACTTGACGTGTTTGAATTCACAATAGATATTTTAAAAAGTACAATTAAGTATAGTTCGAATTATAAGCAGAATTAGATGATGGCTAGCAGTGGATTCCAGGACGCGTCTCGTTCTGTTTCTGACTCGTCATCTGGATGTTCATATTCACTCCAGGACTCGGACACGGTACTTTTCGCCTCAAACGCCATTCCACTATCCACTTATCCATTTGCTTGTGCAATGGAGATGCAGGCACATCCAGCTGACGAGTACCAAATAGCACGGGACACGCGTCCTGGATTCCACTGATAGCCACCATCCATCTTTACTTATAATGCTTGTAACTCAAGTCAATATCTAGGCAGTCCGGACAGGATGAACATATGCCAATAAGAGACTGATCAATTGCAGTCCTAAACAATGATGGAGAGATCCAAACAACCAATAAAAAAATAAGTTTAGTTTTAGTGCTTCATGTATGGATTTCATGATCAAAAATCTTTTAACTATGGCCAAGTGTGAAGAAGGGATCGATAGAATAATTAGATGTTGCGTATTCAGTATACAGTAATTCTCATGGACAAATACCGTTATTCTCAAACTGTACTTACATAAGTTAGATCAGCTTGTGTAGACTACAGAAATGACCTAGCAAGAATTGCATTGATTGTACAGGTTTTCCTAATTACCTTAGTTTAGACAAAAAATAAACATATTCTAAACTTATGATTGTGAAGAAAAAAAGGATGTGAACGTCGAAACATAAATATGTTCTTTTATTGAAACAAATAAAATATGAAAAATTCGCATGAATAATCTCTACTGATAATATGAATAATGTTTCTAGTTCCTAGACCTTCCTCGTGTACGTCTCCTGGATGAACGACGAATACTCCTTTGTGGAGTAATTTGTTGGGTTTGTCTCTGAGTTGCTGATCTTGTTTGGCGATTATTTGGTCTAGTGCTAGGTCTTTGAGAATTCCTGGCTGTGGATCCATTATTAATAGATTCAGTGGTTAATTCTTCATCGGGATTTAAATGTCTCTGTTGATTGCGTGTTAATGGAGGTATATATGATTGTGTATCGAAAAGAAATTCATCATCAGATGGTGGATAAAAGTCTGAATCAATATCTTCATAGTATTCATCAAAATATATGCCATCAATAAAGGAATAGTAATGATCAAATGGAAAAATGGAACTTTCATCTGATTCATAATCAGTAATAAAATCTTCATCTTCTGAATCGCTAGATCCAATAAAGCGGGATAATATTGATGACTTGTGGCGTTCAAAAATTCCTTTTACCTAAGGATTAGGAAAAGAGAAACTTCGGGAATTTAAATTCACAGAATGTTGCTCATATAAATATAGACTATAAAACCTTCAGTACTTGCTAGCCCACTATATATCCAACATGACGAATATTTTGATAGTTTTCTTATAGTTATTAAAGTCTATTTGTGATGCATGGATAATATTCTGAAGTCGACTATTATTTTGAAATAAATTCAATAGTAATGCAAATTTAAGTCTGATTGCTGTAGATTTAGTTTAGGTAAATTAAACGTTAATCCGCATGTTCATGTTGCAGGCAAGATCAACTAAATGACCGATTAAATGCTTGATAAATAGCATGAAACAATTCACTGACAAAAGAAAGATTGCACTACGAATATGTTTTGTTATGAAAAACTTATCTGTTAAATAACACAACGATAAAGTGCCAATTAAAAACTTGTTTTACAAAACACTCGCAAATATGCGTCATCCTAATGGATATACAACAATAGGTTAGACAAAAAACTGACTGGTATAGAACATTAGAATGATCAATAATGCTACACTGGTTATTTGGTCAATAGAGAAGGTAATCACAACTTGTCTTAAACACGTTTGTTAGCGGGACATAGACTAGATTAAAGCATGCTCAATGCATGATTGTTTTGGTGCACGCTGATTCTTATCCAATCAGCACTAGTCGATAGTTGGAGAATACTCTGGAATCTTCTTATGTAAAAACTATAAATATACCGACGTTTTCCCCTATTGTGCTTCCTACTGGCTTCTGACTTGCTATTTGGAATATAATCTTTTTCCTGTTCAACCGTGTTCTGATTTGGGGACTTGTCGAATGAATCGGTGTCCGAGAATACTAAGCAATAGGAATAGCTGGGTCATTAACCGTAAGAAGTAACACAGAGTTATAACAACGTTAGACAGCGTTTAGTGCTGCATAAATAATAACGTCTTCAATACATATCCCAGTTTTACAGGTATGACAAACAAAATTGCCATACTTTACATCGAAGTGACATTGAAGATATATACATTGTAATTTTGGATACAGTAAAATATATTAACGGAGAATTGTTTCATTTAGTGAGCTCTGAGTTGTTATTGCGATACTAGTGAAACCTTACATAGATGGAGACGATTATTTGTCAGAAAATTATTGTCGATTGGCCGACAAGGTATTTAGCATCTTTTAATAGTTGAAGATGCTAAATAGTGTACATGAAAAATGGTAGTCTTTATAGTTGTGATGAATTTTTTTATGTACGCATATCTTATAGACGCGCGAATTGAGAAGCTCTACGAAATAATCTTAGGTGAGTGGTAGCATAGTGATTAAAACTTATGACTGTCAGCCGCATACTCGAATTGTACTCCTTGTATTTTAGCTAGACCAGTGTTGCATCATGAGTTGCCACAACACAAGTAATAGTCAAAGCCAACCGTATACACCGATCTGTATTTAGTTTACTAGATAAGTAAGTCGATCGAGTAAAGTAGAACCTGGCACATCGATTAAAGCTGTCGGATAGCATTAATGTAGTGAGAATTTATCACAAATGTCAGAGTAGCAAAAAAGGGGAGGGCAGAAACAATAGGATTCGAAAAGAAACTGAATTCACAGAACAAAAAGTACAAGTACTTTAAGACAAAAAATGAACGCATCCTTAGCTAAAGTGACCTTATTTCCAAAGGTTTTTTAAACAAATGCAATATTTACAACACTTTTCCTTACCAACAGCAATTCTGTAAATTTCTACGTTTAAAAAATAACCGATAATGACAACAATTTAGTTACCCGATATTTTAAACCAGCTTTAGCTAATTTACGTAGTTCATGAAATGTTTCGTCATCAGCTTCTACGATTGGTAGAGAAGAATTTAAATGTTTGCTTTCTTGTTTTTTCTGAGACTTTTTCTTGGAACGTGTCATTTTATTCCGATTATATACCCAACAACTTATATCACCCGTTGTACCACAGGTAACTATTTGCTGTTCATATGGATGCCAATTTATATCTCGTATTGTATGCCCATCACACGAATAATGTTTAACCTATAAAACAAATAAACAACAATATAGTATAAAGTGCACCATTGTATTATAATAATGTAATGAGTTATACATTCGCAAAGAATTCTGAATGTTTGTCTGAATTTTTTCTCGTCTTTTTTAATTATAGATTTTGAATTGAATTACGATCTCTTTTCAATGTACATTTCTCGGTTCAGCTGAGGTTTTGCAGCATTTATTTGACAAAAGTTTAGCTTGTTCTCTTTAATACACTTCCAATTAATTATTATACACTTGTCTGATACCTGTTACGATTGTTCAAAACAACTATCGAGTTCTTCAGAAGTTAAGCTCTTCGACGGCTTTAACGTTTTACATTTATTGAACATAATGAAGCAAAGGCAATCTTAAAAATGTGCAAGTAGTACGTTTCCGAAAAATTATATACAGTGCATGACTATTACGTACTATTAAAGAGAAGCTGGTAGCCTCAAATGTTGTGAAGTTAATATTGCTTGATCACGTGACACACACATATGGTATATCACAAATATCGATCAGCACTCATTGGCTGGACACAAATCACTTGAAATAGACCTATTAAACTAATTTAAATGAGCTGAATACGTTCGGTCAAGTACATTATTTTTCACCTACGTTTGAAACTGTCGTATATTATTGTTGTGATTCTGTTAAAACAGATCACATATGTAAAGAAACTAAAAAGAAAGAAGGAATCAGTTTCAGTAAATTTTTCTAGAAAATAATTGGGGAAGTGTGTGGGGGAGAATGTTAATGATTGGTTGTTTGCTTAGTCAGACTAGTAGAGTCTGACAGGCGTTAAATGATTTAGATATTCTCCTATCCTTATTATCATTGATTGTTGTCGGTTTTTTTGGTGTGGAAATGTATTTACCTTCTAGTTAGGCTAATCACGTGTTATAGATCTGAGCTGTGTTGAAGTGCAGTAGAATAGACAGTGAGAGGGAATCTAGCGTAGATATTCGTCTAAGGCAAATTAACATCCCATTCGTAAAGATGAGGAAACTTCGAGCGTTATTATCATAGGTATTAAAGATACAAATTTATTAAGATTTCAAGAAACGACCAAGTCACGAAGAGTGTTGTCTACATTGAAAAAAAAAGAACAATTTTACGAAACTTTGACAGATTATCAGATAAAGAGGGGACAGAATGACTTACAACTTTTCCGGAATACAAATCCCATATATACCAATTACCATAAGCACTTCCAGAGTAAGCAAATCTTTGTTCAGTATTAAATGCAGGCGAAAAACGTGCTCGAATTAACGTGTTGCGAACTTTATGTCCAGAAAGTGTAAGCACAGAGTTATCACCTCGAATAGGTTTAGAAGAATTTTGTTTAGAAGGTATGGGATCTAGGTATGATATAACATCATAAACATTGAAACGTAGAAGTGTTAAAAATATCATATTGGACGGAAAACATCTTCAAGCAGTAAAATTTGACTTAAAGAAGGTTACAAAATAATGTTAATTATTTATTAGCTATTTATAAAATACGATTTTCAAAACAATATTCTGTAAAGTTTATTCCGTACACATACATACCGGTACAATTAGGTATTAAAATGAACGTGTACCACTGATATAACAGATTCATAAGGCAGTGGAGCAACGTAAGGAGATGCAGTCCAATAGTAGCCGTTGACCAATGACTGGTTCATACGCGATTTGTTCCTTCAGGATCCTGCAGCCCATGTACATTATTGGTTTGGGATCAGGGTTTTCCAACTCCCCTAGGTGGATCCTCAATAGCCACCAACCCGGTTAAGGCGCCGGACATTCGCTTTTCGTCCTCACTCCCGCCGCGATAAGGCAGTGACTGTAAACGCGTGGATATGTGAGCATTTCGAGAGGGAGAGCTGACTCTCCCCAACCTCGGCCGTACCAGGACATTTGGGGGCCTTATCTTGATTAATCCTGACACATATATATGTGCTAATGCAGGATTACTCAGTTATTTTTCATAATCATTCATAATTGGTATTACTATGAAAGGTAAACCCGAGTGTTTTTGTTTTAATTCGATTTTTCGCGTGATCTTTGCCCTTTTTCTTACTAGCTGGCACTATTCTGAATTCGCTCATTTTCTGTACACTTGAAGTTCGTGCTTTCGTTACTATATTGACTGAGTTGTACTATTTCAAGTTACTCTGTTTGAATATCCAGTTTTCTTTTGTGTTAGAGTTTAGTTGTCGTTATCCAGTCTGCAATGAAACCTTTCGTATTAGAATGGCTCATCTTTCCTTAATTCGCCAGTACCTTGGGCTGGTCGGCAGCCCTAAGAGATATAACCGTTGTACATAAAATTAATCGTTATTATAAAGATTTAACAATATGTCCTCATAAGCTTTAAGCATAACTGCTGGCCCTTTGGCAATAAAGCTTACCTTACTCATTTCTCTATGAATAGTCAGGTTGATAGTGACAAGAATTATGCATTAACAACTGAACCAGATGACAGAACATGAAACAAATCAATAGGCTTCTACATGAATGACAAGTATAAATGTGTAGTTTTTTTTATTTTTTTAACCAACCAGTTAATAAAAATATAGTTTTGAGAAATGTTTTGCAATAAACTGCAAAATTTAACTTACATCCACGTGGAATCGGATGAATTCGATAGTCCCAAGTAGAACGAGGAGTCATTCGCTAAAGGCAAAAAAATAACACAAAGAAACATTATTATAAAAATGTTATTAAAGCCAATTTTGACTGTAAACAGCAATGGATGCAAACCACAGGAATTAATAGGGTTTTTTGTTAGTAACAGACAGTAGATGTATAGATATATTGCATATATTATTAACACGTCCCGATAAACAGTAACATGATATTTTAACAAAAGTTCATTATTGTATCACTGGAATAGGATTTAAACGACATTAGGTCGATAATGATCACACTGTTGACATTCCTCTGATAAGCACGATATCGTTTATAGTAGAGTATTTCAGATTCTTAAAATTGAATAATAATTGAGTTCTTGTTGATACTTGCAATGGAAGCTAACTCAATACACAAACCCTTAATGATCGATTTCTGCTTTAACCCATTTACAGAGAATTTTATGATATATGGTGTTGTTATCATTTACTAAAATACTACATAAAGATTAAGTAATATTAATAATAGAGCTGTAACTAAGATAGTATTCCAATCTAATCACTGGAAGTACTTTATTAAGAGTTGAAATATAATAAGGACTTAAGCAGACAACAAGCTGAGATTATCCGTAATACCTTCACCATTCAATACGTGTATTGCATTCAACCTTATCGGCTATTTGTTTGTTCACTTAGTGGGTTGGTCCTGGATATTGTAGTGAAATAATAAATATCTAATTTCAAGCATCTGGAGTTGTCCTTAAGTGTTCACAATGAAGATATTAGTGTATTTCAACCCAATAAGAATAAAAATACATATCTAATAAAAGTTAAGGTTCAAAATGAAATGACTCTACGAAGTAGCACATATCCACCAAATGAACGTAGGAATCTGAGAGATACAACACAATTCCTAAACGGTTAGGAATAAATTCAGTCTAATCAAAGAAATATTGCGGAATAGATACAAGGTAAATTACAGAGAATAAAGTAATCACCAACTGAGGTTAGCCTGGATATTGGGTCATAAAAATGTAACGAAATTCGAAATGTTAAACTATCAAGAATAATGAAATGTCACACCACATTAAACGAAACATATATAGTGCATCCTGTACCGTAAGATATTGACATGAAAACGACCATTTTTGTAGACTGATATAATGAGCGGGAGGGGGCGGTGTGGAAATAGGTATCAAGCTTCATAGTTAGGGATTAATTTAGTTGGTGAATAAATAATCCATAGTTCCTACATCATTCAGCCGTTTATTTGTAAAATGATTTCTGATCATTTTTATTCTTGTGTTGAATATTTGTATATATGTATGTTGTTTTGTGAGAAAAAAGCCTATGCTAATGGGCTGCTGTTATGCATTCTGATATCGTTTCGAACTGGGATAGCTATCACTTCGTTGCATTATAATATCTTATTTTATCCATCGATTAGTATTGGATTTAATCATTTCAGTAACTTTAAACCTATTAGCAAAATTATAAAATTCTATTATTTTATTATTATTATTAGCTTTATTCAATATTATATTATTGGTACAATATCGAATTCTCAGCACAAAGTATTTCAACAAGTTTCCGTTTCTTTCTTCTTGGTCGGTCCTCGCGATAAATACTGAGTGGTCGCCAGCTAGATGTTATCAGTCCAGTAAATGAACATGGGAATGATGTACATTCTTTTCGTTGTATATTGCCAGCAACCATATTCTCTCTTTTTGAGCTTTTTGTAACTTTGATAACGAAAGGTTGTACATTTTTCAGAAACGCAGCAGAATGGTTTGTGCGATTAATAGACATAATGATATATTAAAACAAACAAAAATAGATAACTTGTTGAAATATCTAGATGGCAGGAACAGGTAGCCCAGATGCTCAAGCATAGACACTTACATGAAGAAGTACTTGATATACAAAATTCTAAATAATTTATACAGATCACGTCATGTTTATAACTAAATTACAATGCCATTAGATTATAAACCAACAACTTTCTCTACATAAGTTTTTTTATATCTTTTTTTAATATAATCATCACTGTGAAGGAACGTTATATAAGTCACTAGCAGGAATTTCTATGTTATCCTATTTTATTCTAATCATTCAAATATTGTAACAACTTCTTTATTTGCAAATTCTCTAGCTTACCAACAAATTATATTGACTAAATTATTTACTGACGGATGCTCATCAAAAAAGCTTAATCTGTTGTCATGCTTAGTAATGTAAAGCTCAAGACAAAGAGCTTTCTTCCTTGTCCATATTATCAGTCAGATTGAAGCGAAAAGAACTTTGAAAGGATGCCTTCATGTTCTCCAAAGAACCTGGGTTCTATTTCCGGATCTGGGGTCGTGAATGCACATTGCTGAGATGTCCCATACTAAGACAAAACACTCGTCCAGCGTTTTTAGGTTTCCAATGGTGATCTAGATAGGATTACTTCATGATTTGTACTATGAGAACAAGTATTATTTGCGATCGTTAGTTTAGCAGGCAACTTACAACGTACATGAACAGACTTATTTTTAAAAAGTTCAGAGCAATAAAATCAATGCCGTTAATGATCGTATTATAAAAAATAGTAGACGCTGCTTACAGTTTCTTTCCCCGATTCCCGACACTTTCTTGTATCCCATAGTTTAACCGTTTGATCTTTACTGTTTGACAAAAAGTACACATCATCACCCTAGAATAGATAAAATGTTTGAGGTATACTACTCAGTCATCAAATGGGATACGTACTGCAACGAGAAAACCACTTAACCCGCTCGTTCAACTGTCTTATTGTTATAACTTATATGGGATGAATTGGCCAACCTTTTTTGTTAACAGTTAATATCACACCGATTGGCAAGACTTTATGTTTCTTTCTTATACATTCTAATTAGTTTAACTGAACGGCCGAGTTATCTACAAAAGACTATGTAGGATATCAACTTTTCACGCTTTACTACAGTCAGTTGTGGACAGTCAACTTGCACTAACCAATGATCTGTTAATTCAGAAGACGATCAGTCACAGAAACCTCTCGATGGAGGACTAGAACAACTTTTTCGTTACTTTGAACCTTTATATATCGTGTACAACTGCTTAATTTTCAGAGATTATGTAGCTGGACCCAAATATCTTCGTATTCAAGCACTACGGCAATTTCACAGCGATCGATAGAGATATTATTCGCATGAAATCTAATGCACGAGGTTTCGCCCTTTGACCGTCTATGAAAACTGTCTCGCACATCGCGTTGAAAGCGGAGTTGCGAATAACTAAGTTATATCCTAAACGTATCATTCGTTCACTGTGGCCAGACATCTCAGTATCTAAGGAATGGAGTGTTGACTTTATTTTTCATAGCAACACAGTACTTTTAAGCGTAACTTGGTTATTAGTTAAGAATCCAAGTACGCACTATGCAATGCAGTAGAAGTCCGCTTAATTAATCTTCTTTAGTAATTCAAATAAATTTAATCAGAACATGGTATTTCTATTCAGAATGTATGATCATTGAGAGAAAAGAATAGAGGATTGTATGTGTTCTTTTTTCAAGGTATTTGGTGTGACGAGAGTATTTCCTCCAGTTTTATAAAGACATTGAGGATCTCTGTAAAACGAGTAAAGGAACTTACTATACAAACAACTAAGCTAATAGTGAGTAATCACATTATCATAATGGAAACGAAATGATTGACATTAGTGCAAACAAATGAACTATTCCAGTCAGCATTTAAAATTAAAATAAATCACAATTTCATTAATTATGAAGTATAATGAGACTTTCTGTGGGTTAGTACTAAAAATGTAAACTTATCAACTCATAACCAAACAGCAATAATTTTGATATTTGATTTTATTTTCTTTGAAGGGCTTGGACCAGATTGCCAGGCGAAACGTTGGGTTTACTTCAACTTTATTCGCTGAGATTTTACAAATACATTCTTTCTATTTAATGTCTCACATCATATCGGCGTCAAAATACTATGAAACTATTTGATCAAATTTAGACGAAAGTTCTCATATAAATCAACTCATACTTCTTATCTTTTTAAAAACTATACATTTTCTATGGGTTTGATATGATAATAAAACATAACTATGAAATTAATCAAATACAGAAAAACAACAGTACCTTTGAATCCAAATATGTGATACCGTCCACATGTCCAGAAAATAAACTTTGACACCCTTTGTTCAATGCACGAATATCAAAAAGCTAAGAAAGGAACCAAAACACGATAATCAATATGTACAAACTCTAAACAATAAGCATCATAACGTGCACCGTTGGGGAGGAGCAAGAGTGTACACGTTGAGACCCGAACGATGATGAACTATGCTTGTGAAGGTTGAAGCCAGAGGAAACTCTGGTTGAGGACCGTAGTGATTCTGATGTGTGAAAGACTAATCGAACTATCTAGTAGCCAGTTCCCTCCGAAGTTTCCCTCAGGATAACTGGCATTCTGAGAAATAAACAGTTTTATCCGATAAAGAGAATGATTAGAGGTATTGGAGAGAAATCATCCCTAACTTATTCAAAAACTTTAAGTGGGTGAGAAGCTTAATTCGCTTAATTGGAGTTCTACATTGAATGTGAGTGCCAAGTGGGTCATTTTCGGCAAGCAGAACTGGCGCTGTGGGATGAACCAAACGTTCGGTGAAGGTGCCCAACACGACACTCATGAGGTACCGTGAAGAGTGTTGGTTAGTCTAGATAGTAGGACCGCGGTCATAGACGTCGGAAGTCGCTAGGGAGTGTGTAACAACTCACCTGCCGAATCAACCAGCCCTAAAAATGAATGGTGTTCGAGCGTTGAACCTATACCGGACCGTTGCTGTAAGCTGAGTCTATACTGTGTGGGGGCAAGCTGCACTTGGTTCAGATATGAAGTGACGGTAACGACTAGGAGGGTCGATGTGGCTAGCGGGGAACCTCAGGTGTGAGCATAGGTGAAGCGACCACAGGCGCAGATTTTGGTGGTAGCAGCAAATATTCAGGTGGGAACCTTGAAGGCCGAGTTGACCACCGGTCAAGCGGTCCTAAGTGATCCGGAAAGTTGGAACAGAGACGGAGTGCCTGACATTGTCCGTTCGCGGGCTTTGTTCAGTAATCTGCAAAGTACTGTTGCATTGCAGCCTCCTGTAGCGAAAGGGAATCGGGTTAATGTTCCCGACCCTGTTCACGGAGACTGGTGTGTGTCGGGCCTTTGGTCCGGCGTGCGCCCAGCGCGGTAACGCAACCGAACTAGAAAATGTCGGCGAAAGTCAGACATAGCCGACAGAATTTACGAACGGTCCAAGACTCACCTTGTATCTCAAATCCAATCAAGCTCAGCTGACGAGATCGCCGAGTTACGACGATCAGTTGATACCCTTACGAAACAGATAGCTCAGATCGAATTATTGAATGCCTCCCACAGCAAGCGTAGAAGAACATCCACAAGCCGTAGACGACGTAGTCCAAGCACTACTAGACACAACATTTGTTGGTACCATAGAACATATGGCAAACAAGCTAGAAAATTTACTCCGCCTTGTAACTTTGCAAGCACACAGAAAAAGGGACGTCGAGACCGCAGGTTAATGACGACTGCACTCACTGATCACAACTCTCAAGACAGTCGTCTATTATATGTTACAGACAGAAGAACCGGCACACAGTTTTTAGTTGACACTGGGGCAGAGGTTAGTGTAGTACCACCTACTGCACTCGAGAAAAACACACCTGACCCCAAACTAAAACTACAAGCTGCAAACAGGTCTGACATCAAGACGTACGGCAAAAGGCGGTTGCAATTAAATTTCGGTCCTAAATCTAATTTTTCCTGGAGTTTCATCATAGCGGACGTCCTCGTTCCTATAATCGGCATTGATTTTCTGCAATTCCACAAAATACTGGTAGATGTCAGAAATAGGAAACTTGTCCTTGCCGAACAGAGTAAGGAAATTAGAGGAATTATATCAAATGAGACTTCCATACATTTATTAGTTAAACCTCATCATGAGAACGACAAATACGTCAATTTACTTAATCAGTTTCCAGATTTATTACGACCGAGTTTCAAACACGACAAACCGACGCATACCGTCGTACACCACATAAAGACAGAGGGTCCACCTGTGTTCGCACGTCCAAGACGCCTTGATCCCTCTCGTCTGGCTATCGCAAAGAACGAATTCAACAAAATGATTGAGTTGGGCATCATACGCCCCTCCGATAGTCCGTGGGCATCACCGCTTCATAAAGTACCTAAGAAAAACTCTTCCGAAGTTAGACCGTGCGGTGACTATAGAGCTCTCAACAGCCGGACCATACCAGATAGATATCCTCTCCCACATCTGCATGACTTCACTCATAGCCTATCTGACGTGTCGATCTTTTCAAAAATTGATCTCGTCCGTGCTTACCATCACATTCCAATTCATCCAGACGATGTTCCTAAAACAGCCATTACTACCCCCTTTGAACTATACGAATTCGTCGGCATGCCTTTCGGATTAAGGAATGCTGCACAAAGTTTCCAGCGTTTTATTGACCAAGTGGTACGGGGCTTACCGTTTGTGTATGCTTACATAGATGACCTACTTATAGCAAGCAAAGATGAAAATGAACATCTAACTCATCTGAAAATGCTTTTTGAGAAGCTAAACGAGTATGGGTTAGCGGTCAATCCTGACAAATGTGAGTTCGGAAAACAATCCCTCACCTTTTTAGGTCACGTACTTGATAAGCAAGGCATTAAACCAGTTCCTGAGGAAACACAAGCTATCAAAAATTATCCTTTGCCTGATTCATTCAAGAAACTACGACGTTTCCTTGGGATGATCAACTTTTACAGACGTTTTATCCCTAAATGTGCAGACTTAGCAAAACCACTAACTGATTTATTAAGGGGACGAGCTAAATCATTAGCAATGACACCGCAAGCAATTCAAGCATTTGATCAGTTGAAAAGCGCTTTAAGCACAGAGGCATTACTCGCACGACGAAAGGTTGATGCACCTTTAGCAATAATGACCGACGCTTCTAACGTAGCAGTAGGTGCTGTACTTCAGCAACGTGTCAATGAACAATGGCAACCCCTTGCATTTTTCTCAAAAAAGCTAAACGCAACGCAAACGAAATATAGCACATTCGGTAGAGAACTGTTGGCTATCTACTTAGCCATCAAACACTTTCGCTACATGTTAGAAGGCAATTCTTTCACGATATATACTGATCACAAACCCCTAACTAAGTCCTTGATGCACAATCATGATAAATATAGTCCGCGCGAAATTCGTCAACTAGAATTCATTTCACAATTTCCAGCTGATATACGCTATATTAAAGGCAATGCAAATGAGGCAGGAGATGCACTATCGAGATTAAATATCAATACCTTCTCGATCCCTGATATAGACTATCAAGAAATGGCAAAGCATCAAAAGGTCGATACGGAGCTACAAAAGCTTTTGCAGTCTAAGGAAACGAAATTATTATTCCAAAACATCCCCATAAACAACAAGGACACCTTAACTTGTGATACAGTTAGCATCGATAGAGTAAAACCAGCATTTTTAGAGAACACTGAAAAACAGACAACTGTAAAACCGTCTAAACCTGCAGCAGAGCAAGCACCATTCAAACTACCTGCAACAAGCAACACTTCAAATCGAAATTCAGCAGCAGCACAAACTACAACAAGATCAGGAAGAAGAGTACATTGGCCAGATAGGTATGTAGCAACCACTATATTTATCTAGACCAAATCCTGAGACTACTCTTATAACACATAAAAATCCTACTTTATTTTGATTACTATTTTTTTTATTGGCCCCACGGATCATCATTATGCTTACATTTTAACTTTATACAATTCATTAATGTTAAATATACACTTGTATATACATGATATGAAACGTTTCAACACACAAGCTGTTATTACAGTTTTACGCTTACTCATCATATTGAGTTGTACTTTCATTTTAAAAACAGTTCCATTCTTTATCTCTTTATCGAACATAGATGTTAATCCAATTTTTTTTTTGGTACATAAAAACATCAATGTTCTGGATGGGAGCTTATGTGGTAAGCCCATTTGGCCACTGTATCATCTGTCTATTCGTTGTAACTTAGACTCTTAATTCACTATGTTAATTTCGGAGTGTATGATCGAATGCATGTCTGTACATTAACTCTTAAGCTATCCTCCTATTGGTTTCAATGTGCAGATAATCGATAATTTATCTACACCCGATTAACCCTCAAATATATATGGATTTTTAACAAACTCACTCACTCTCTCGGTTCCCATCGTGTGCTTGCTCACAATACGCTTGTGGATTATCATTATTCATTAATAATAAACTATCTCCATAACTGGTGTTCAGGCTTCTTAATAATCTCGAGTAAATCCGTAATTCTACTAGGAGATTAAGCCTACCTTAAATACTCAGTTACGGAATATCATTATTTGGAGTCAGATATTAAGGACATTATCCATAACAAATGTATGTAATGTATGTAATGTATGTATGTATGTAATGTATGTATGTATGTAATGTATGTATGTATGTAATGTATGTATGTATGTAATGTATGTATGTATGTATGTATGTATGTATGTATGTATGTATGTATGTATGAACTTTACATCAAATCTGATTGGTTTGTCTACATACTATACTTCTATCACATGTTTTACCTTCTAATCATAACCAGTCCTTACAAACGTTGTAGCATAACATCATTAAAAACATTAACAGAAGGTTAATTCGAAGCTTACTTAGTTGTTTAGATGTCCTATAGCCTTAAAACTCGCAACCTACGGTTTGATTGGTACGTCATTACAGTATACTTTAGCCAAATATAGTACAATGGTGGAAAACTATTCAGATGCACCCTTCTAGTCGAAAAGTTTCAAGGTCAACGCTAATGATTATTGAATTAAACGTTACTCAGTGTGTGAACTGAAAACATCTTGATATTTCACATGTGCGAACTGCATGGGCTCATGTGCCTATTAAATTAAAAACTTTACGTATGCAATAGCCTAATACGGGTTAAAAGTATTTCTTTAAAAACAGTTATGATACCTATAAGTAGCTACATGCGTTACAACTAAATACAAAGACTAATCGTCAGTGAGCGTGACCGAAGGTCCTGGGTTTGAATCCCACGTGCGGAATAATGGACAAGCACTGTTGAGGAGTCCCATAATAGGACAACACAGCCGTCCAGTGCTTCCAGCTTGCTAATGGCGGTCTAACATTGATCGGTTTACTATTTCAATGAAAGTAAAAATGAATCACCTGTCAGTTATGTCCATTAACTAATTAAATATTATGCTACATATTAAAGAGGAAGAATGTATTTGTAAAATCTCAAATTCTTCCTCTTTAATGACTCACATTAACTCGGCGCCCAAATGTGAAACTATTCGTTCAAATTTAGACGAAAGTTCTTATTTATACTACCTATTGTACAAACAAGAGAAATCAGTGGAAGAATGATTGCAGCTTACAGGAAATAGAAAAATAACTTGCACAAACTTTTACTAGATATCTGACAAAGATTTACGAAACTAAGTTCCACCGTTTAATACCACGAAACGACAATCAAGGGAATTTAGTAAAAATACTCACAGCAAAGATTAATGAGCAGCGACTGTACCACGAACGTCTATCTAGATTTTACATCAAAACACTGTCAAGTGACTTAAATTATTTTATTCATAGCTAAAGTAAATAGAATTACTGTCTGATTTCATATTTAGTTTTAACCTAGAACTTTTACAGATCCGTGTACTCACTTGACTCAAGGATACAAATCACGTGAAAGTTGGAGATACTAATCTATGATCAGGGGTAGGGGATCAGAGCAAGACTAAATGTTTGACCATCGTGAAAAAAGGCAGAAATACAGCCATAAGTAAATCCGCTACAATCTGTGTGACAAGTAAAACATTACAAAATTAAGATATTTTCAATCACTAATAATTAATTATGGTCAAATATATTAACTCGGTTTACATAAAAAGTTTCTGAACTGGACAGAGACCAATGTAAGTTTTGTAAATAGGTGGAAATGGGATGAAAACACCTAAATAATCATCAAAATAATAGCTTACTCTAACATTTGTATCATCACTACCCGCAAGGATAAGATTACTTGATCGATCCAGTGTAGTAACAGCATTTACATCAGCTTTTGATCGTGGATTTACAGCCTTGATTAAAATGAAAAAAAAACTGAACCTGTAGGATCAAAATACAATTAGCTATGTTAAAATATTTGTTAATAATCAAAGCTGGTACAAAAGTTTTACACCTACTTATAGAACAAAAAAAAGTTAACAAAGAGAACTATTATACAACCGCCTGTACTCTAACAAGTGTAGATCAAAATATGTTAAGCAATAATAAAATTCGATTCCCAAAAAACTAACCCATATTTACACACATAACCCAAATCATAACTTCGCTTTATCTATCAACTTAGTAAACAAGACATCACGAATTAGTGATATGCTAATGTGCTTATAATAACAATATGACTAATATACTGTAAAGTTCTATGCATATAGATATGAGCATATGGTAGAATCAATTACATATATATGTGGATGGGGAACAAGTAAGGAGTTTTCATTAATGAGAAACATAGTTCATTGTCAATTTAAAGAATGTGTTCAGTTCAATATAATGAACTTTTTAACGAGTGTTATTGGTTTTAACTTTTAATACTGTTTATTTTAAAGCTTACACTTAGTGGGAAAACTCATTAGTTTTTTATGTATGAACCTGGTTCGTATAATTTTATATTAGTGAATAAAACAAGCGATTTGTTTTATACATCTTTGCTACACATGTCCAAATGATCCAAGTTTCTTAATGATGACTCAGAACTCGTTTGGGTATAAGGTCCAGTCTGTCTGTTGAAATTATTTCGAGGAGCTATGCACCAGGGTTCTTGGTACCTGTGTGGTTGCGCCACAGGATTGAGCTGTACCATTCAGATTGTAGCGTTAAGGCCTGTACGGTGTCTGGTTCCTCTGCTAAACGGGGTTGAGCTGCACTGTTTGGGTTTTTACGTGAAAGTCCGGATGGTGTCTGGTTCTCCTGAAAACCAATGTAAAATTACCCTGGCCCACGAGGGTATATTATATAACTGTGAACAACTCCGCCTGGAGTCCCTCTGGGGGCTACTGCCGGTCCCAAGCCCGGATAAAGGAGGAGGGTTGGGCATGGGGTTAGCGTCCCCATCCCGTAGAAAAATAACTCGCTAAAAAAACGCTAACCAGAAAAAATTATTCAAACCTTTTAAACTCTGCCTTGGGAGTCAGAAGATCTTCATTTAGAAGAATTATGACGCCTCATGATGAAAGCCGAATCCCTTCGGAAGTTATGAGGCCGATGCCCCTTCTGACAACCAGAGCGACCATTTATTTAGGTACATGGAATGTTCGTACAATGTGGGACACCGGGAGAGCCTTCCAGATTGCTGCAGAAATGAGAAGATACAACCTAGAGGTACTTGGGATCAGTGAAACACATTGGACACAAGTTGGACAACAACGACTAACTACAGGAGAGCTCCTGTTATACTCCGGCCACGAAGAAGAAAATGCACCACATACACAAGGAGTTGCATTGATGCTGTCCAAACAAGCACAAAATGCACTTATAGGATGGAAATCTCATGGACCAAGGATCATCAAAGCCTCCTTCAAAACAAAGAAAGAGGGCATTTCAATGAACATCATTCAATGCTATGCGCCTACCAACGACTACAATGAAGACGCGAAAGATCAATTCTACAATAGGCTGCAGTCAATCGTCGAGAAGTGCCCAACAAAGGACCTGACCATTCTGATGGGAGATTTCAACGCCAAGGTTGGAACGGACAACACTGGATATGAAGACATCATGGGACGACACGGACTGGGAGAAAGAAACGAAAATGGTGAGAGATTTGCAAATCTATGTGCCTTCAATAAGCTGGTCATAGGCGGCACCATATTCCCACATAAACGCATACACAAAACCACATGGACTTCACCGGATCACTCTACACAAAACCAAATCGACCATATTTGCATCAACAAAACGTTCAGGAGGACTATAGAGGACGTGAGAACCAAGAGAGGAGCTGATATAGCATCAGATCATCACTTACTGGTCGCCAAGATGAAATTGAAACTCAGGAAGCACTGGACAACGGGGCAGACAATATCACAAAAGTTCAATACGGCCTTTCTCCAGGATACTAATAAACTCAACGAATTCAAGATAGTCCTCAGCAACAAGTTCCAGGCCTTTCATGATCTACTCAATGGAGAAGGAACTACTGTGGAGAGCAACTGGAAGGGGATCAAAGAGGCAATCACTTCAACATGTCATGAGGTCCTGGGTCACAAGAAACACCACCACAAGGAATGGATCACTGTTGGTACATTGGACAAGATTCAAGAAAGGAGGAACAAGAAGGCAGAGATCAATACCAGCCGAACAAGAGCAGAAAAAGCCAAGGCACAAGCTGAATACACGGAAATAAACAAACAAGTGAAGAGGAGCATCAGAACCGACAAACGTAAATATGTGGAAGATTTAGCAACGACGGCGGAAAAGGCTGCAAGAGAAGGAAACATGAGACAATTGTATGACACGACAAAGAAACTCTCTGGAAATCGCCGCAAACCAGAACGACCAGTGAAAAGCAAGGAAGGCGAGGTAATCACCAACATTGAAGAGCAACAAAACAGGTGGGTAGAACACTTCAAAGAACTCTTGAATCGACCAGCCCCACTGAACCCACCCAACATCGAAGCAGCACCCACGGACCTCCCAATTAATGTTGGCCCACCAACAATTGAAGAAATCAGCATAGCCATCAGACAAATCAAGAGTGGCAAAGCAGCAGGACCGGACAACATCCCAGCAGAGGCACTAAAAGCAGACGTAGCGGCAACTGCACGGATACTCCACATTCTCTTCAATAAGATTTGGGATGGGGAACAAGTACCAACAGACTGGAAGGAAGGACTACTGATCAAAATACCGAAGAAAGGCGATCTCAGCAAGTGTGATAACTACAGGGGCATCACTCTTCTCTCAATACCGGGAAAAGTCTTCAACAGAGTATTGTTAAACAGGATGAAGGACTGCGTAGACTCACAACTTCGTGACCAACAGGCAGGATTCCGTAAGGATAGATCGTGTACAGACCAAATCGCAACTCTACGGATCATTGTGGAACAATCAATTGAATGGAATTCATCACTCTACATCAACTTCATTGACTACGAAAAGGCATTTGATAGCGTGGACAGAACAACACTATGGAAACTTCTTCGACACTACGGCGTGCCTCAGAAGATAGTCAATATCATACAGAACTCATATGATGGATTACACTGCAAAATTGTGCATGGAGGACAGTTGACAAAGTCGTTCGAAGTGAAGACCGGTGTCAGGCAAGGTTGCTTACTCTCACCCTTTCTCTTTCTCCTGGTGATCGACTGGATCATGAAGACGTCAACGTCTGAAGGAAAGCGCGGGATACAATGGACATCTAAGATGGAGTTGGATGATCTAGACTTCGCAGACGATCTGGCCCTTCTATCCCAAACGCAACAACAGATGCAGGAGAAGACAAACAGTGTGGCAGCAGCCTCAGCAGCAGTAGGTCTCAATATACACAAAGGGAAAAGCAGGATTCTCCGATACAACACAGAATGCACCAATCCAATCACAATTGACGGAGAAGATTTGGAAGATGTAAAAACCTTTACGTATTTGGGCAGCATCATTGATGAACAGGGTGGATCTGATGCAGATGTGAGGGCGCGGATCGGCAAAGCAAGAGCAGCATATTTACAACTGAAGAACATCTGGAACTCAAAGCAACTGTCAACCAACACCAAGGTCAGGATTTTCAATACAAATGTCAAGACAGTTCTACTGTATGGGGCAGAAACCTGGAGAACTACAAAAGCCATCATCCAGAAAATACAGGTGTTTATCAACAATTGTCTACGCAAAATACTTCGGATCCATTGGCCGGACACTATTAGCAACAACGTACTGTGGGAGAGAACAAACCAGATCCCAGTGGAGGAAGAAATCAGGAAGAAGCGCTGGAAGTGGATAGGACACACATTGAGGAAAGCACCCAACTGCGTCACAAGACAAGCCCTCACATGGAATCCTGAAGGTCAAAGGAAAAGAGGAAGACCAAAGAACACATTACGCCGAGAAATGGAGATAGACATGAGAAAACTGAACAAGAATTGGATGGAACTAGAAAAGAAGGCCCAGGACAGAGTGGGTTGGAGAATGCTGGTCAGCGGCCTATGCTCCATTGGGAGTAACAGGCGTAAGTAAGTAAGTAGTAAGTAATGCACTTAATCAAAAAGCGCTATTAAATACCTCCGCGCAGTGAGAAAACTTTTTAAAATAATGACATAACAGTTAAAAATCCACTTCTAGAGTGGGGCGATAGATACGAAATTTTTGCTTAGGACAGTTAGTAAACTCAGCATCTGAAACAGTAGAAGAAATGAGCTTTAGGTTGACATCAACAAATAGTTGCTGCTCTGTATGAACGCGAGGGACAACAACCCCTGTCTCAAAATCCTCACATGTAATGAGTTGTTACAGGCCGATGCATGACTAGGTCAACAAAATTACGATTCACTGGAGAGATGTCACTTTAGTGTATCAACACGTTGTCACCTAATTGACGTTGGATTTTATCATTGGACAGACAGATGATCATGGGTTATAAACGAAAAACTAGTTGCATGATTTGTAATAAATTCACTCCGTCTGCTAACTGGGCCAAATGTAATTTGCATCATTCATACCTCGGCCTTAATTTGTGGGTGAAACAGGTATGTTGTCACTGTGGTGCTAAAACTATGACATAAACAACAGTGATTTCAACATAATCACGTGAAATTTCCATTACTTAATAACACTATTACTACGTCTCTCGTTAACCTAAACCAATTGTTCTCAGACTACTCAACTACACTAGAACGAGAAAGCTAACACAGAAACCTACAGCGAGACAGAGTTTGGATGAAACCATGTTCAGTGAGGGATTGTGTTGGAACATGCTGATTGACCATCTCTCAGCCAATCAGCACGAGGGGATATTGGGAGATGATTAGATTCTTTTGTAAAACTATGGATATACTCACGTTTTTCTAATTGTGAAATCATACTCCTGTTCAATCGTGTTTTGAATCGGGGAATAGTCGAGTGAAATAAGGTGTCCGAAGAATACCGAGCAATAAGAGTAGCTGGTTTGTAATGACACAAACTATGGTGATTTCAAAAAGATATGTACGTGGCATACAAATATGGGAACAAAAAAATAATTGTAAATAATTTGTAAACATGGATGGAATTGATGCTTAAATATGTCGATTGGTACTACGGTTGTGCTTACCAATCAGTGCATTAACTTCTAAACCACTGCTAACTAAATCTATTATCACATCAGTAATTGGTGACACAACTTCACCATCCAACTTGATACTTTATACTGTTTGTCAAACCATGTTGCAAACTGATCCAGGAATAACCTCAAGAAAGAATGTCCAAGTCTACATTACTCGGTCCGATCGTCACAATAGGTGAACCAAACAACATATAGGAAGATAACATTTCACAGAAGTTAAAGAAAGGAAATCATATAACAATAACACCGGAAAATCCGAATATTAGACGAGTGTTCAAATAAGAATACAGAGCCGATAAATTTAGTTATTTCTAGAAGTTTATCTTGCTAGTCATTTAAGACAAAAAATCTCTGGCATGATAGCTACAAACCTTAATGTAAAGCTACTTCTGATAATAAGTTGTTGAATCTCTAATAACCTATTCTAAAATTCGTGATGAAATATATTTTAGTCCGAAACAATATTTTACTTAAGGATCATTAATGTTAGTCTACTTTTTCAGTTTGGTGCGCCATATTAACAGCCGGATTCATTACCCACCCACTATCAATTTAATCACCAAGTTTCAGTTGTAAAACATGGGGGTTCACCATGAGAGTTAGGTAAAGTATGATGCGAAATATGTGTAAGCCTGTTCTTTTATAGGTAGACTAACATTATGACGGTTTCTTAAGTTATTTAAATTGGTATACTTTACTGCAGTATTTGCTGTTTGGAAGCATTAAATCATCCCCATATAATGCGAGTTTATTGACCAAGGAAAGGGTTCTATTTGTTTTATTTTGTAAAAGTATGCTATCAGTAGAATGTTGATCTCAAAATCAAAGTAATCTAAAGAAACTTGAATTGAAATGTGATACATAAAAACAAATGAATAAACAGCCGAGTATTATAAGCACAGATTGATGGTGGCTAGCAGTAAAATCCAGGACCCGAGGTCTAGGTTTTGGGTATTCGTACACGAGACCGAAGGTCGTGTGTTCGAATCCCCTCTGCCAACAACACCCCCATAGCGCCCGAATTCCCTGGTACGACCGAGAGTGGAGAGGGTCAGCTCTCCCTCACGAAATGCTCTCACACATCCACGCGTTTACTGTCACTACCAGAGAAGCCTTAGTCACTGGCTTATCATGGCTGGGGTGTTGTTTAGTAAATTGGTGGATATGGAGGATCCACCTAGGGGAGTTAGAAAACCCTGATTCCATACCAATGGTGTACATTGGCTGAAGGATCCTGAAGGAACAAATGGCATATGAACCAATTATTGGTCACTGGCTACCATGGGACTGCATCTCTTTACGTTGCTCCACTGCCTTATGGATCAGACCTGTAAGTCGAAAGCTCCGGGTGTGACCCCTTAAGAAAACCACTCGTTTCGGTCTGCGCACCCGGGCAGTACCACAGCCTACAGACAAATCAAGTAACTTGTGTGGCGCATATGTGTTCGGTGCCCCTTTGTATCAATATCTATGTGTTCAAATGAATAAATAAATCTTATTTGGGACTCATAAGATGGATGTACCTGCATCCCAGAGTTGATGTCCACCCCAGGACTCGAAAACAGTACCTTTCGTTCCAAACGCCATCGACTTATCCATTTAGCTACTGAGCAGGATAGCCGCTGGCTTATGCAATGGAAATGCAGTCACATCCAGATAATGAGTCCCAAATGAGACGAAACCCGCGTCCTGAATTCCACTGTTAGCCACCATCCATGTTTGCTTATAATGCTTGTGACCTAACGCAATAAGAACAGGATGAACATATACCAATAAGAGACTGATCAATTGCAGTCCTAAACGTCAATGGGAACATCCAAACAAACAATACAAAAAGAAATAAATAACTGAGTAGTTTAAAAGTGAGAATCTTCAACTTTCAATCCGATATTATTTTTATCGTTTCTGTTTTAAATCTAAATGTAAAGCTTAAAAGCAAACAGAGAACTGATGTTAGTCTTCCACAATGATGCAAAGGAATTGGTTTAATTTTTTCATTAAGATGATCACAGCAAATAATTTGAAAGCAACTTTGCAAGCTGGCTAAAAAATAGTACTAATAAATAAAATGAAATTATGAAGAATAGAATGGTCCAAGTAGTTTTTAACAAAATGAAACTTGAAGGTATAATAATAATAATAATAATAATAATAATAATAATAATAATAATAATAATAATAATAATAATAATAATAATAATAATAATAATAATAATAATAATAATGATAATAATAATAATAATAACAATTATTATTCGATAGACAAAGCGTACAAGTTATTGCAAAGGAATCAACATGATTGATTAACTCATACTTACGAATGATTCATACTTGTTTGTCTGCAGATCCGTCACATAAACCATACCTTTGTTATGTCTGATGAGAAAAAAGAGACAAAATTGATAAAAACGTTTGTACTGGAAAGTGTGACAAATATAAACTAATCAATACCTATAAGAAGATTGTCATCTGCGTTGAAAATAGTGGAATAGTTAATTTTTAGGAGATAAACGAGGATAAAATCATGTAGCAACATGATACGATGTCCAAGAACTAGTTCCAATAATCAGGTTTCTATTGATTGGAGAGTGAGTGATATACGAAGTAATTTTCTCCAATCGCTTATGATATTTTACATTTATTTTGTGTTAGTATTTTCTACATAAGCACGTTAACTTATTACATGATAAACCTATTCTTCTGGCTAGTGGTCTTGTTTTGAAATCAAATCATTAGGAGGTTTAATTCAATTATTTGTTTTTCTGGGCAGCTGTTATTTACCTACGTCATGTAGTTAGATTTGTCTATCAACCAGGATTCTACAAATTGATTTTGACAAACGAAAATTCTCTCATGAAATCACTAAAAGTCTCATCCATAACCCAATAAGACAGAGAAACGAAACTTTTAATGATATCATAAAGGCTTAATTTAAACAGTATTCACTTCAAAATACAAGCAACTTGAAAACCTTAACATTGAAATTGTATGAATGTATCAGATAGATAGCAAGGATTAGAATGGCTGAACGGACAGAAGAGGTAATTGTTACTATTAGAATTTGTTGGTTGCAAGTAAAACAACGCGTACTGCTATCTACAGCTTTTGACACGTAGGAACTTATTTTCAGCGAGTCCTAACTGTTAGTACTTCGCGTACAACTACGTAATAGTGTGTTAAGCTATTTTTGTAATCCATATGTAAAAGCTAATTATGCTTGTGTACTTTTGTTTCAACACTTAAAAAGATTGTCACAAGCCAATGTAGAGAAAAAAAGCTTTTCAGATATCTGTCAGTTAGTTGGTCAAATTGAGTAAAAGTGTAATGAGTTGCTGTTTTTAGAAAACACCGAAAGGCATTTTAAGCTGTCCCAGTTATCAGCTGACTGAGATTTCAACGAAACTATAAATGAATTGTAAAACTTGCCACTACCCTGACTTCTAGTGAAAGACATCGAACCTCACGTGATAACAAGAAGGAAATGGTCTTGACTAATTCTAATTCTCAGGTGTATCGGGACAAGTGATCACAGTTTACATCAGCACAGTAAAGCGAAGACAAGTGAATGAAACATAGTGTTACCAATAGAAATACACAAAGACGATCCATAACTGATGATTCTGTATGCTTAACGACAACGTTTTACAGTAGTATTACAGGGTAAAATGCAATAATGTGTAAAACTCAGCTATTGAGAGACATAATATTTCGCTTATGTCTGAAGATCTTAGGGATCCTGATTGCAGCAGCGCAGTTGCATTCGTTCTTCACCTTTGAAATTATGAGCTTTTACATAGTTTCATACTTTTTCCTTTGTTTAATTCATTCTATTCAATCAATACTTCCTGTCTGATTTTTCTTGAATCATTGATGCAACTAACACTGCCAAGAATCTGATATGTATCTTGTTACTTTCAATTGGCCCTTGTTGTGATTTATACGGCAGCTTAGAAAGATGAAGATTTATATCAGAACGTAAGTTGCTCATACGTGAAAACCAAATAGGATTTTATTATGCCCAAGTTTTAAATGTGATAAACATATGAATGAAATACGAAGCTAAAAGCACAGATAACTATTAGTAAAAATTAGTGATGGGAATATATTCACGGAAACTACACTAGTAAAACAGTGCTAATTCCCATAATTTAGACATTCATATAACCGTAATCATCTAACTCAAAAAATCTGCATATATTACTTGCAGTTAACTAAGTCATAAACTTAATTATGTGCTGTTTTTATATTAAGTGAGCTTAAATAATTGTGAAAAGCATTTATAACTAAATTACTTTTTGCATTGTACTTATTAAGTTAGTATGCATGTAGAAGATCTATAGCAAACAAAACGTAATTTATTCACTTGATTTCATAACATTTGTCAGTTGTACTTGATAACAGTTCATTAGAGATTAATTGTATGAGGTCTGACTATAATACTTACAGAACGGAATGATTTGTAATATAACTATAAAGATTTATGATTATTCCAAATAATTGTTTACAGACAAACTTATACATATATTCATAAGTCAATTAAAAACAGTGACAAAAGTGTTGATAAGCGAAGTGTTGTAAAAGAAATCCAATAGTTCAAACAAAGTAAATAATAAAATAAGACACCGATACAGACAGAGCGAAACACCTTACCCACTAACCACTTGATTACTACTCCCGCCAAGAAAATCAACACTAAAAGTCTTCGTTATATTTCTTACACCAGGTTGAATTTCGGCATGTTTGAGATTTAGCTCCTCATCACGCACATCGGTTAGACTGGTGAAATACACTGAAATAAATGTGAATGTTAAGATGAGGGTAAAACATTGGTGAAATGAAACAAAAATAAACTAGTAAAATCTCTGTATTTTAAAGTAGACGTTTTTATTTTGAAGCTTACAGTCCACTCCCGATAACATTATTAATCGTTACCAACATCAACTGACTTTTACTGATAGTACCCACTTGGGTGAACTCAGAACCAGACGTAATGGATGGGCAAGGTTAAATATAAAGAACGATTCGAAAGGAAAAAAATGGGACGATACTATGACTTTAGATACAAAAATTAAGAATTAGTACGAATGTGACATTATGATAGATTTAAGCCCATATCAGATGGACCCAGCTACACTTGAAAATGAGCACCCGTATCTTAACAGGTAGTAGGTGCCTCCAGATATAACTCAAACCTACTGCCAATGACACGAACTGATATGTCTTAGTTTGATGACATTTTTAACCAGCTACGTTGTTCGAGACTGAACGTCGGGATAGTCGGTGACCTGGATGGGTGACACATCTCAGTTGAAGTATCTCAATCTCTTAAAACGCGCAAAACCCAAGTTATTAAGGAGACAATCATGGCGGCTGATTGATCAAACATGATGCGATTCCCCAAAAGCGGATGATCCTATCAATCTTCAGAAATGATCACTATGGATCAGTTGGTCTCTGTTAATCTCAGCAGTAATTTTGTGGAAGTCCAGTTTTATCTGATAGCTCTAAGATAAAAACGGAACACTGAGTTTGTACGATCCCCATTTTGATTAACACACTTAGCCGACTAGTTGAGGGGAGGATGACACAGAATCCTATGGGAACATTTTTATTAAAATTACACAAGCTAGGGACAAACAATTTTAAAAAGCAAGAATGGTTCTGCGAAAATCTGACAAAATGGACATGGTAACTAAACTATACATTGAAAATAAAACATTGCATTTGAAATCTCATTACAAATAAATATTGTTACTTACGAATAGGAGACAAACTGCAGAAAACAAGGGTATCCCCCAAATTGCTAGAAAATTTTGTAAGTAATGAAAATGCACACACCTTAAAGAGAGTGACACAATACTCCAGGTATATTCAGGAACATTAATCTCATTCATGTAACGAAAATAATGTCCAGAAGAATCAAATACTCGAATAAACCCATCTGTATAAAAGTTACAATTGGCAATCACATATTCACCTTGCGAAGCAGTGAAGAACAGGTCCCCAGAAGAATTATATATACCGCAGTAGACATCGTTATAACATTCTAGTGACCACAAAACCTCATTTGGAATAGTTTGACTTTGGAAATATGACTTGAAATCACTAGAGAAGCTGTTTCCTTTCAAAGAAATCTAAAAAGGATAGAGCATCTGAATAATAATTACATTGTTGACTTCATTTATGATGTTTAACCTTCTGGTATCCAAAAAGTTACAACAACCTTTGTAATCTAATTGCATCCTCAAAATAACACAATTCAACGCCAAATTTATTTCAATTTCGTGCAGTATAAACGAAAATTTGTCAGGACGATATGAAGAGATGGTCAGATGTCAAACTCCTAAAAGCTAAATGAGAGACCAATTACATGTGCAAACCGGAAAAAAGATCCAATGTATAGAGCGAAGGACAGTGCGTAAGCAAATCCAGATGAAATAATTGTGGTGTTCAGTTTTGGGTACGTTTCCGTCTAACCTGAAAGTACCTTGTATGCTAAGACAGTGAAAGAGTCTGGAAGGGAAAAGAACAAAAGAAAATGTCAGCCGACCTCTCAGCAAGTAGATAGAATACACTGCCAATATCCAACATCTTTGTTACGTGCACGTGTAAACGACATGGTGGACCTCAAGGTGGGGCCATGCGCACGTTTTAAGCAGTGTTAGGAACAACATTGGGGTGTACAAGCCTGAGATCAAGCTTCTTTAGGAAGTTTCGGAACCTAGTTTAGTTGGTCTGTGAAGTTGGAGCTAAAGATCTCTGACATCTCAAAGCCATTTGACCCTCTACGAGTACAGATCCCTTGGCTTGTGGGCTTCCTCCTGATCATGAATCAGTAGAGATATATGGGGTCAGTTTGGATTTTGGCCGCTAGCTTGACCTGAATACATATCCTATTACTGCAGACTCTGGCGTCGCATCTGTTTCTCAATGCCAAGTAAAAGCTAAGATTAGAATCTTTCACGGAGACTCTCAACTTGTCCCAGGTTCACCGTTTGGTCAGTAGCAAGCGTTTTGTGACTCGTCTAACACAGGGTCTTCGCTTTCCGAGTGTATTCTTACGTTGTGGTACATTGTGTTGGATAGCATACTGAATCATATCCCTCATTGTCCACAAGTGGTCATCCACTGTTAACCACCACTCTCATCACCTGATGCTCCTCTACAGACGTATGGGTCAACAGGATTTTAAGGAGATTGTTGTTTAAACTGTGTTAGTCAGTTGCGTGGGAACTGAACTTTGTAGGGTTTCGCCTGTATATCATGTCCCATTAGCGAAACCATGTTCTCTGTGATCTAAACTGTCGGTTGTTAATTAAGGTCAGGCGACACCGAATTGTGTTCTATTTGATCTTTCTGCTGTTGCTCTGACGATCTAGGTTGGCTTTTGCAACATTTGACGTAATTAGAGAGACCGTTCTTCGAGTCCTACCACGTCTGAGGAGCCTCAGTTAAGCCCATTCGGTTTCTGAAGTTTACAGCCACCAGAGAAGACTTAAAGATAGTGAGGTGGAAAGGACGAAGTAGCCTGGACAAGCTAATTATTGTAGTGATGTGAAAGCCTATGCTATGTGATACCCAACGCCACCGTTACATATCGTGTTTGTGAGCTTTATCACAACTATCAACTACCAGCGCAGGCACTCCGCGAACCACCATGCTGGTTGATTCTCGTGTATTTGCCGATCTACAGGCATCTCTTAAGGCCCACGACTTGTTGTGTCAAACTCAAATTTAAAAGGGTCGCTTAACAGATGGTTTCTGAGGTGTAAAATTTCTTCTGTAACGTGTGTTGAATCTAAACTTACCCTGAGTAGAGAGGGCTTACCTTTGCTACGTCTTGGACCTTACACAGGCGGTATTGCTTGGCTGAAGTAAAACATTTTCTTTATACTATACAGTATATGCCCGGTCGTTTTTTTTATCAGAGGCTACTCTACTTTCCAATACACTACTCTCCAAAATGGAACACTAAATAAAACGATTGAGCTGAGTAATCCGCCCCGAGCTCCCAAGTTTGAGGAAATTTTGAGGTCAAATGACCCTGGCCATTTACCCAAAGTTCACTATGGTGGCTTCCCTAAAATGGGTCAAATTTTCCTCAAAATTGGGAACTCGGGTTGTTGCTCACATTGACTTGAGGCTTTTTCCTGTTGTCTTGAGCTTTTTTATAATCCTATTGCTATAAACGGAGATTGTCTATTCGTTAGTTACGTCTGAATTAAAACCTTTAGCAATGCTAGTCATACTTTTGGTTTTAGTATGGCTACTTGTGGCAACGCTATGACTGTGCATGCTATTCATTATATTAAAGTCTAAAATGTGAGAAAATTTGAGGAAGTACGCGATAAAAACTTCGAGGGAAAATAACAGAGATAAGTGAGGATATACGCTATAAGAGAATAGGACTTGAAAGAGTTAAAATCGCAACGTTACCTTTGACAGTCCTAGAAACTTCGCATGGATTCAGTAACTAATCCACAAACCCCGTGTTTGAAAGGAAATAGATGTGTATATTACAACTGAAGCAACTAAGAATAGAGTAGTTGATCGGAACAGACAGATATATTACAGTGGTCCAATCTTAATATGATTATGGCCAGACGTTATTATTGTTGGTTGACAGCAAGGTGAAGACGGACTACGTATTCAAATAAATATTCAAATGACTGAGGAAAGGTAGATGCTTTCGGTTATCAGTGAAAGATCAACGAGATCATGTCAGCATCGTAGAATAAAAGCAATCGAAAACGATGAGAAATAACAGAAGCATGAGATTGGCAGCGCTTCAGGTGTATCGTCTACTGATGGAGGGTGCGAGCACTTGAAGGTCAAACTGTCGTGAGATGACTGGTGCGTCACATCGACAATTCGTGGAGCTTTCAGGAGTGGTCAAATCAATACATTTTTAGATTTGAATTGAGCTCAGCCGTACCATATGTGATAACGTCCATCCTTCAAGTAACGAAGACGACGTCATCTTGATGATGCATGTTATAGGATGAATTTTCAATGGAATTATATAATATCGACGAGACAACAGATGTTATCTCCTCGACTTACAAGTTGGGACAATTTTGAGAACTATTTGAAAGAAGTACACAAGGTAATATGACTTCAGTGGTTAATAATTATTTTTGTACTATACGTTTTCTAAGTACGTTATATCAGTATGTAAAGAGAACAATGGTGACCCAACTGTAAGGTATTATTTCATGAGATATGTCTGTACATATGGACGTAAACCCAGTTCGTCAGAGCCAGGTGCTTGTGTTCAGGATGTAGATGATGATAGTGATCATCATTTTCCCGGAGAGCATACAACTTCCTATCACAGTATCGCTGCTGGTTGCGCAGTTTTGGTAGCCCTGAAGACAATACAATTTTTAAGACGATATACGCTTAGGCCATGTTATTTCATATAAAAATAAATTATTTGCCTACCGTCAGTGTAAATTTGAGTGGAAATAATGGCTAGTCTGCGATGCAAATACGGAAAAACTATTATAGCAGCACCTGAATAATGAGTTATCAAGGACTTCGCGATACCGTGTACCGCAAAATGGCAAAACCCCTTTTCACTGAATTGTGAAGAAGAAAAATAAAATTTCAAATTTGAAGTCGCTTCGTATTGTTTGGCTTGTATCTTCCCATTGAGGTTTAAGAGTGCAATTGGTCAGTCTGTTTTTGGCATATGTGCATACTGTGCGTATGCCTCGATATTATCTTAATTCACGAGCTATTTGTAAGCAATGATGGATAGTGGCTAGCAGTGGAATCCAGGACGCGCGTTTCGTAGCTGAGTGGATAACGCGCAGGCGTTTGAAGCGAATGGTACTGGGTTCGAGTCTCAGAGTGAACATCAACTGTGAGATGCAGGTACATCCAGCTGACGAGTCCCAAATAGGACACGAAAAGGGATCTCGACAGCGCTACTGTCGATGGAGCATGTAGTAACACTAGTGATGGCACGCTGCAAGTCAGCACCATCATGGCATCTATGGTAATATACTCCCTCAGCAGACTTGGGTCCCCCGGCACACGATCCCCGAATGCAACGGTGGTTCCCCAAGTCTCTGTAAATGATAGGACGGCTGTTAACAAGGTTAAAAATGACCAGGCATCACCGTCTCTTTGTTTCGCAATGACAGAAAAACAGGAATCGGGGATGGGGTAGCCATATACATATGATCCTGCCTGAAGGCACATCAAGTGCACAACCAAGAATTGACCAATCTTGATGAATCTATATGGTGCTCATCAAGATTATCTACCACCTCGAGGTGTCTGTTGGGGTCATCTACAGGGAGCTCACTACTGATATCGAGTACGACGATCGTATGCTGGAAAAATTATCCCGCTCCACTCGTCTCTGATTTTTAGTGTCATTGGGCCCTAACCACACAACACTGAAAGCCGAACACAAAACAACTGGGAAAATAGATATTCTACATTTATTACGGGGAAAAATCAAACGGTGGAGATGGCGGGAACAGTGAATTGAATTAGTTCGAATTTATCGGATAGCATGGCTCGGCCTTGCAGGCGTGGTCTCACTTATGTAACATTATTTTAATCCATATTAAATATATTGTTCTATCTCCAGTCTAAATGCGTTCATGATTGTTACAACGTGATAAATCATGGTAGATATTGATGTGAATTTCACGTAAGATCTTATAGATTAGGCAGTTACACAACAACAAACCTGCAATTTTGGGATTAGATCTTTTATTAGAGCAGTACTAATATCGAAGTAGACCCCAATTCTACAGATTCTAAGGAAATTCAATCTCCCTAACGTCAAGTTTGCGGAACATACGTATATTAGAGGTGAAAACTCTACTGAAGCTCGGTTCTTCAACTTCTTTGAGGATCTGAGACTATTCGAAAATGTGAGATCGGCAACTCGTTGTAGAAACAGTCTGACGCCGTCGCGCTTAGACTAGACACTCACAAACGAAGAGTTCCTAATTAATAACCTCTTAATCCAGGCTCTACTGGGGAGGAGCGATCACACTGTCATAGCGTCTAGTTTTATCTGCACGTTTGATCTAAGACTTCCCGCCAAACACAGGCGCTAAAATTTTGAATGGTTGAATGTGTCAGCTTTACAGGACAATCGAAAACGGGCAGATTGCCAAACTCACCCTCAACTTGGTGTGAATGCTCATTGGGATTTCTAACTGCACACGATCTTATACGTTACAAAGCATTGTGTTCCTCAAATGGTCCCCAAAATCTACAAGCAACCTACAGTCATTAAAAACCGCAATCATCGTTTGTTTAACCGCAAAAAGCACTGTTGAGCGGAATAAAAACGAAATGATAACACTGGCGCGTACAGGCACTACAAACATATAAGAAACATATATAAAAATGCAATAAGAGAAGACAGGCTTCAGTACCAGATAAAGCTTATCGATAAATTTTTCTTCGATCCGAAAGCTTATTGCGTTATGCAGCCTCTCTTCGGCAACCCAGAACCGGAGTTCCCCAACTGTTAGGTCCTAATGGCCCGACCAATAACGTTGATGATGCTTGACAGTACCCTTGGACATTTCAACTGACCTACATTAACTATATTGATGAAAGTTTCATCTGCAACTGCAAAAGACATTCCGAAGTGAACCTAAGCGCTGACTTGGTGTGCCGGAAACTGCAGCACCTACAAAAGACACATCTGCTGGTCCGGATATGGTTCATTCCACCATACTGAGGAAAGGAGTTTCAATCCTGGCAACACCGCTTAGTGTGCTGTTTTCACACTCGCCAGGCTGAAGCATATTGCCGGAAATTCGGTTGGTGGCTCACATCACACCAATTTCAAAGAAGGTCGACATAGCGGATCTTCAAGTCACCGACCGGTGGCCCTTCTCTCAATACCTTCAAAAATTATGGAGTTCCTGATACGCAACGGTATACACAACTACTTACTATCCTTAAAATTCTTTTCATCCCAACAGCATGCTTTCAGGAAGGGTCATTCTTGTATAACCTACCTGCTGACGACGGTGAACAGATGTGCAACTATGCCTAGTCGCAAGGGGAAGGTTGATGTCATTTATCTTGACTTCTCAAAAGCTTTTGATAGGGTCAACCATATATGTGTGCGCGTGCGGGATATCATTATTCCACAGACTGTCGAAAAGTTCTCTTCAGACACTTCTTCTTATGCAAGCCCTACCCATTAAGTGAAGGCGGTTTCCATGGAAATAACTGAATCTGATGTTCAGGTGATCATCATAATCCTCAGAATTGAAGGTTTTTCAACCAAGGAAAAGTCTCAAACGACTCAGAATGACATTACAGATCTCTGTAATACTATCTCGCGTTGTTTTTATGCTCATCATAATTGAAGATGCTCCTAAACTCCCCATAAAGTCCATCAAAAGAAAGATCCGTTGCTAGATCATCAGAAGCTAATAAAACTGACTGAGGTTGGTACCACAATAAGTGTGGTAGATCTTCTGGAAATTGTGGGAAACCTCGTGTATCGGGAAGCTTTCTCATCAGCAAGAAATAATGTTGATCGTAGCCGGTGGACATATCCATCTGTTACACATAACTGATGTGATGACGTAAGTTCGTCACCTCTTCGACACTGGTGTGGAAGCAAGCGTTTATCCCAAGAATGCTTAACACCATCTACAATATCCGGTCTTCAACTTGCAGGCGGAAAAATAAAGTCCATTGCCACGTATGATAAATGATATGTTCACTTGTGTGTGGGTTTACGAGAGCTCATTCACTGTATTTTCGTCGTTGCGGACGTTTCTGTGCCAGTGATAGGTATAGACTTTCTATAGTATCATCTTCCGTTCACCGACCATAATAAAGTTTCTGGTTGTAGGTCATACATGGTCACGACTAAACATACAGTCGGTTCATCATTTCAACGGATGCACGACAAGCACCTAGAACATTACCAAACTCCACCGAAACTATAGTGTTCAAACAGCTATGTTACACAACAAATAATGACTACAGGACCATCTGTATTTTCGAAAGCGCCCCGACTAGCTTTCGAAAGGATTCAGTTGGAAAGAACGAATTCGATCATATGATAGACTTGGAAATTATCCGGCCATCAAATAGCTCATGTACATATCCTTTGCACCTTGTCCATAAAGAGATATAGTGGCTTTGCTTTACTAGTCGATCACCTTCAGTCAGTCAGTCAGTAACAATGTAGAACTTCGTACGTACGTACATCAGTTCGAGTTGCCACACCACATTAGCACAGAGATGCAGTTGTCGATTCAAATCCCGTAGTGGTAGAGGTAGCAAGAGTATAAGCAGTAATCGGGAAGATTATGGTTTGGTGATGTTATTTAAAGAGTATAATCCAGTGAAATAAATTTGGAAAGAGGAAAAAAGGGACATGAAGAATTCAGAAGATTAGAATTTGGGAGAACACAGAGAGTGGATGCACCTGCGCCATTGCAAACGATTTTGAGCCATGTCATTCAGGGTCTCTAACCATCGGTTGCTATCATCTCGCGGTCCCCAACCAGGTAGTCTACACCTACCAACATGACTCAGTTCACTTGTCAGTGATTTCATGAACTTGTGCCATGTTTTGGTTTGGCCGCCCCTAGCGTTCTTCCAACCTACTCCTATACCACTGAACATAGCACGTCGAGGCAGTCGGTCGTTGGGCATACGTAACACGTGTCCCAGCCATCTCAACTGGCGAAGTTTCACTACGTCATAAATTGATTTGCCATCCTTACCTAGTACCCGTTTCCTAACAACTGTGTTACTTATTCGATGGTCCCAGGATATACGAGCAATGTTTCGAAG